GGTGGGAGCATTAGGGCCCAGATTTCTTGCTCTGCTACCTCTGAGATAGAGCTTCCACCCTACAAATCAGGGCCAGGTTGAGGATGGGGGGGCCCCTTCCCACCCACATGGTTAGTCTGGAGCAGAGCTTCTGCAATAAGCTGAGGTGGAGGGATGAGCAGTGTAGGCAGCCTGCTGACCCAGGGGGAAACCACAGCCTCAGCCTGGGTGCATGGGAGAGTGGCCATCGTCGTGGCCACACCTGCCTGGATTAGTGCTCCTGAAGCAGCTCTCATAAAATGGAGTTGGAAGGGACAGGCTGTGATGCACATGCCACAAACTCTCACTGTTCTTACCAAGATTCAGTAGGTTTTCTTGAATGAACGATTCTCCATTTTCTGTATGCCTATAGAATAATTTCTAGAAATGTTAAATGACTGTTTTATATAGTTTTCTCCAGTTCAATGATTGGTTGCTGGGAAGAGAGTTCATGCTGGAAGTCAGTCTCCCATGCTCAGGTATTTTGGGAAACATAAAGGAAGGGAATTTTGAAAACCTCTGTGAGGTTGGTGCTCTCTTACTACATTTAACTCATTTACTTATTGTGAACTGATCATCACACTTACAATGCGGACATTGTTTCTCTTTTTTCAAAGGTAAGGACACAGATTTAAAAGTTGAGGTAAGTCCTTGGAACCATAGTGCCAGCAGTTTGGCGCAGGTACTGAAATACACATCCAATATCAAAATCTATGCTAATTAACCACACCGGCTGCCCAGTATGGGATTCAATGGAGATAGTGAGAAACACAAAACAAATATGTGGCCTGAGTCTGAAATCCAACTCTGGTTTCTATTTCTACCACCAAACATTTTATAATCCCTAATTATAAAAAGAATGTAAAAATAATATAGCAATTATCATCTATTGATCACTTACTAAGTACTAAACATCTTTCGGGGATTATTTCATTTAATTCTCACCTGCAGTGTAGATACTATTATGTTGGTGTTAAGGTAATAGAGCTATCATATGTGAGAGGCAGGATTCAGACTCAAAAGGCTATGGGATCAGAATGACACTGGCTTCCTGCATAGAATTACTACTGATTATTTCCCAGGTTACACAGGTCAACTGAGAAAATGGTATAGAGACTTACTTCTTTGGAAAAATGTCAAATGTTTCATATGAATCATTATTCTTACTTTTACTTTTGAATTTAATTGTAAAAAGATGGCTCTTTTACTAAGAGTTTTATCATTAGCCAGTAATTTTTTCATGCGACTAACTGAAATTTCTTGTTATTATTTAAGGTCTCGTTTTTTTCTTCTCATAGAAATGGGACAATTCTATTTACCAATTTGCCTAGGACGATATTTTATATCAACCCAAGAACTACAAAATATATGATATCTATTCACAGAATGTAAAGAATTTTTCCTACTAAAGTAATAGCAGGGAACTTTTTTTTTTTTTTTTTTTTTTGAGAAGACAGAGTCTTGCTTTGCCGCCCTAGGGAGAGTGCCGTGGCGTCATCATAGCTGCAGCCTCAAACTTCTGAGCTCAAGTGATTCTTCTGCTTTAGCCTCCCGAGTAGCTGGGACTACAGGTGTGTGCTACCACATCCAGTTAATTTTTCTATTTTTAGTAGAAATGGGGTCTCACTCTTGTTCAGGCTGGTCTCAAACTGTGCTCAAGCAGTCCTCCTGCCTCAGCCTCGCAGAGTGCTAGGATTACAGGCATAAGCCACCATGCCTGGCCCAGAGAACTTCTTTAAAAAAACATTTTTCCTCAAGAATAATCAAACTTCTCTTTAGAGAGTGTGATAGTTAATTTTGTGTGTCAATTTAGCTAGGTCATGGTGCCCATTTTTGGATCAAACACCAGTCTAAATGTTGTTGTGAAGGCATTTTTTAGGAGTGATTAACATTTAAATCAGTAGACTTTGAGAAAAGCAGACCCCTCTTTATAACATGGCTGGGCCTTTTCCAATTAGTTGGAAGGTCTTAAGACTGAGGTTCCTGAGTAGAAAGGAATTCTGTCTGCAGACTTCTTTGAGACTCAAGATTGCAACATCAACTCCTACTGGAATTGCCAGCCTGCCCTGCTAATTTCAGACTTGCAAACTCCTACAATCACATGAGCTAATTCCTTAAAATAAGACTACCTCTCTTTGGGTGTGTGTGTGTGTGTGTGTGTGTGTGTGTGTGTCTATAAACATACATATATACACACAAAAACAGGTATACAGTGGATATTGTGGGTTAGGTTCAGTAAAGTGAATATTGTAATAAAGTGAGTCACATGAATTCTTTGGTTTCTCAGCATATAAAAGATATGCTGACACTATCATGTAGTCTATTAAGTGGACAGTTGCATTATGTCCAAAATACAAAGTACATACTTTAATTAACAAACACTTTGTTGCTAAAAAATGCTAACGATCATCTGAGTCTTCAGAGATTCATAATCTTTTTGACACTGATGGCTGTGAACTGATCAGGGTGGTGGTTGCTGAAGGCTGGGATGGCTGTGGCAATTTCTTAAAATAAGATAACAATGAAATATGCCTCATTGATCGACTCTTCCTTTCACAAAACATTTCTCTGCACCATGTAATGCTGCTACCTGATAGCATTTTACCCACAGAACTTCTTTCAAAATTGGAGTCAATCCTCTCAAACCCTGCCACTGCTTTATCCACTAAGTCTATGTAATATCCTAAATCTTTGTCTATGAAACCACTTTCTTTGCTCATCCATAAGATGTGACTCCTCATCTATTTAAGTTTTATCATGAGATTGTAGCAATTCAGTCGTATCGTCAGGCTCACTTTTAGTTCTAGTTCTGATGCTGTTTCTACCATATCTGCAGTTACTTCCACCACTGAAGCCTTGAACCCCTCGAAGTCATCCATGAGGGTTAGAATCAGCTTCTTCCAAACTCTTCTTAATGATGACATTTTGACCCTCTCTCATGAATCACAAAGGTCCCTATTGGCATCTAGAATGGTGAATCCTTTCCAGAAGGTTTCGATTGACTTTGCCCAGATCCATCAGAGGAACCACTACCTATGGCTTTACCAAATGAATTTCTTAAATAGGAAGACTTGAAAGATGAAATCACCCCTTGATCCATGGACTTCAGAATGGATATTATATTAGCAGGCATGAAAACAACATTCATCTCCATGTACATCTTCATCAGAGCTCTTGGGTGACCAGGTGCATTGTCAATGAACCTGGTCACCTGAATATTTTGAAAGAAATCTTTTCTTCTGATGAGCAGTGGATCTCAAGAGTGGGTTTAAAATATTCAGTAAACCATACTTTAAAGAGGTGTGCTGTCATCCAGGCTTTCTTGTTTCATTTAAAGAGCACAAGCAGAGTGGATTTTGCATAATTCTTCAGGGCCCTAGGATTTTCAGAATGGTAAATGAACACTGGCTTCAACTTAAAGTCACCAGATGCACTAGCCCCTAACAAGACAGTCAGTTTGTCCTTTGAAGCTTTGAAGCCAGGCATTGACTTTTCCCCTCTAGTTGTGAAAGTTCTAGATGGCAACTTCTTCCAAAAGAAGGATGTTTCACCTACGTTGAAAATCTGCTGCTTCACCTCACACTTTTATGTAAGGGAGTCAGCTTCTTTCCTTAAACCTCATGAACCAACCTCTGCTAGCTTCAAACTTTTCTTGTGCAGCTTCCACACCTCTCTCAGCCTTCAGAGAATTGAGGAGAATTTGGGCCTTGCCCTGCATTAGGCTTTGGCTTAAGGGAATGTTGTGGATGGTTTGATCTTCTATTCAGACCACTCAAACTTTCTCCATATCAGCAATAAGGCTCTTTTGCTTTCTTATCATATGTGTGTTCACCAAAACAGCACTTTTAATTTCCTTCGATAATTTCTCCTTTGCATTCACAGCTTGGCTAACTATTTGGTGCAAGAGGCCTGCCTACCTTTCAGCCTATCTTGGCTTTAAACATGCCTTCTCACTAAGGCCTAATCATGTCTAGCTCTTGACTTTAGGTGAGAGATGTGGACTCTTTCTTGCATTTGAACACTTAGAGGCCACTGTAGGGTTATGAATTGGCCAACTTTCCTGTTGTGTCTCAGGGAATAGCGAGGTCTCAGGAGAGGGGAGAGATGGGGGAACGACCAGTCAGTGGAGCAATGGAAACACACACATTTATCAAGTTCACCATCTTGCATTCATGCAGTTCATGGTACCCCAAAACAATTACAATAGTAACATCAAAGATCACTAATCACATATCACCATAACAGATGTAATAATCAAAAAGTTTGAAATATTACAAAAATTACCAAAATGTGACACAGACACACGAAGTGAGCACACAGTGTTGGGAAAATGTTGCCACAAACCAATCTGCAAAAAAAAAACACGCAGTATCTGCAAAGCATGATAAAGTGAGCACAGTAAAACGAGGTAGGCCTGCGTGTTTGCGTGTATTTATGTCTATATCCAATTGATTCTGTTTTTCTAGAGAATTCTGACTAATGAGAGAGAAGGGAGAAAAAGAGATAATTGAGGCAGAGAAGCAGGGAGACTGCTGAGATAGTTTTCTATGTTCACCCACGATTCCATGTCTCAATTCAGGGAGTGAAGGTGCAGCCGGAGGAAGCTCGTGGCTTCTTACCTAGACTTTACTTTTGAAGGTAGAAATTCAATAGCTTTTCATAACCAAACTCTGAAACAGGTTCCTGCTCTTTTCCTTCTTTCTTGTATTTCCACAGTCCTAAACCCTATTTGAAAGAGAAGGTGCTAAGCTATTCACGACAATTTGGTATTGAACAGAATTATACATCACCCAGCATCACAAAAATAAAATTCAGAAAATCATTGCGAAATTAAAGTACACCTTTTTATTAGATTTCTTTTCGTTTTATGCTTGAAAATAAAAATAAAAGCAACTAATAATTGCTTCCTTCAGATGAAATATACTAAGCATTTTACAAGCCTATTCTGAGAAGAAATATATTAAACAAAAGTAATTTCTCACCATTTATGGGTCTCCGTCAATGAATTCTCCTCTGCCTCTTGGTCAATTTTAGCTGAAAATGCAAGAAAAATATATGAGATGAATGATAAACAGCTACACTATCTCAAGCAAGATATGACCTAAATAATACACAATTTTAATTATTAATTCTAATGTACTCCAACCAGAAGTTTATTTCAAATCTACGAATGTCACAGATATATGATTAAAAAGATTAAATTTAATTTTAATTAAATTGATCTTATTATACTGACACAGATGTTACATAACCAATCAAAAATTTCAGATTCTAAATAATTTCTTTAAATCATTCATACTGGCCGGGCGCGGTGGCTCATGCCTGTAATCCTAGCTCTCTGGGAGGCCGAGGCGGGCGGATTGTTTGAGCTCAGGAGTTCGAAACCAGACTGAGCAAGAGCGAGACCCCGTCTCTATAGAAAGAAATTAATTGGACAACTAAAAATACATAGAAAAAAAAAAACTAGCCGGGCATGGTGGCGCATGCCTGTAGTCCCAGCTACTCGGGAGGCTGAGGCAGAAGGATCGCTTGAGCCCAGGAGTCTGAGGTTGCTGTGAGCTAAGCTGACGCCACGGCACTGTAGCCAGGGCAACACAGTGAGACTCTGTCTCAAAAAAAAAAAAAAAAATTAAAAATTAAATCATTCATATTAACCTGAAAAAAGAAAACACTAATTTCATAGTTACATCAGATGTGTCAGTACTCAAATGCCAACAATTAGCTGAAAATAATTCCCTCAAGCAAAGGTGCAAACACTAAGTCAAAAAACTAAACCGAACTGGCATGTGATAATGTTCCTGAGTTATGGTAAGAATTTGGAACTCATTTCAACAGTGCCCTCCACACCCAAACACAGGTGAACAGACCATGGTCTGCTCTGAAAGGGGAGAAGGCGATAACGTACCCATTTATTTGCTATCGTTTTTGTCTAAAAATAAAGAATGATAGTCTGACACAAACTCAAAGATCAAACTGGGAAAGAAGATTGAATCAATATTTCAAACTGCTTAAAATAACGTAGGTACTCCTTCATATAAAATAAGTATAGCAGTGACTTCAAGTTTTTTTGACAAGTAAGCATTCTAGGAATTTATGTATTACTCCGCCCCTACCCATCCCCACCGACCTCCACACATAGATATTTCACATGAAAGTTTCAAAGATACTTTTATTTCATGCAACGCTCTCTGATATTTTCAGTCTGTTCTGTTAGATTTTAAAACATTAGTTGTGATCTGCTAAATTGATTTCATGACTCACTAACGGTTTGCGGCCCACGGTTTGAAAATCACTGAGCAAATCGCAAGACAAAAAGAAAAGAAAATAGATTAAAAATATCCTGGAACTAGTGAAAGTAGTTGTATTTTTATAATCATTCCCCTTTGGGTCACACTTGTGGCCACTTGAAGAAATTAGGAGGTAAAGCGGAACAGGGAAAGGGAGAATTGATTATAAAAAAATTGGAACTGCGCATGACACAAAACCCATAGGCACTTGGCAATTGTCAGTGTCTCTATTACTACTTAAAACACAGTAATACAGTGCCGGCTGGTTAATGTTTTACAACCTCAAGACAGTGTTTTTGCAAAGGTCTCTGCAGTACCTGCAAAGTCATAACCAAGTGTTACCCTGCCACTTTTTGCCAGGATTTTCAGGATTTAACAGGGATCATTTGAGCTGGCAGTGAAGATTTTTTTTTTTCTTTCTTTCCTTTCCCTTTCTGTACTTCAGATTGTTTATATAAACATACAGGTCAATTGTTAACCATTTTAAAAAACAGAATAAATATTCTATAGTTTTACTTTGAAAAGGCTCCAGCATGAATATATTGTCTTATAAAAATCTCTTCTGAGTTGCCTAATATAAAAAAATGACTTGCTTCCAGAAACAATTCTAGAACCACATAAAGTTTGTTTAAGGGAAAATAGCAAAGCACCACAATGCACACCATTTTCAGGAAGGATATTTTTCCAATGCCTTTTGCGTGTCTTTTTTGTTTTGTTATCTGTAAAATATACAGATTAAGACTGTGATTGGAATAAAGAATTTCTGGACTATTTTAGAAAATTTAAATAAATGATTTGTGAAACTTAAAAACACACTATAGTAGAATGAGATGCCAGAGATCTGTATTTTATTTCTGATTCTGCCACTAAAATTAGCCATGTGACCTTTGGCAAACAGATTAATCTGTTAACATATAAAAAATATTTAGCATAGTACTGCCAATAATTAGTAGAGACTTAACAGATAAATATCCTTTGAAAATTTTGGACTGGAAGATCTTAAAATTTTTGAAATGATATATATAAATATGAGTAAGCTAACTACTATTTTTAATATATTCCAACATTATATGCAATAAAGAAAATACATACAGCTCTTCTAAAAGCATAAGCTCCCAAGTTGTGGTGAGTAGAATAAAGTGAGTTTCATTTGTTCATAATGATTCCTTTTGATGTGCACCAAAACAGTTCTTGCTTCATTGCATGAGCAAGTTTGGCCGAAAAAAATACTTTAATCCAATGTGGCAGAAGATTGATTCTCACCCCAAAGGAACAAAACATAAAAACAGGCCCTCTCACCAAACCTAACAGCCATATTACAATCATAAAGACAAACTGGAATAACAGAAAACACTTAATAATGCTCTATTATCCATTATTTTTACATGATTTTGAAGCTAAGGGGATTTATGTATTCAAACTGTAATCAGCTTTTGATAAACAGTCAAATGAGAGATCAAAGAAAGTACATTAGAGTACACATTTCAGCTCTTAACGAAGAGTCAACAATTCAATGAACTGAACAGACTTTCCTTTGTATAACAATTTTAAGAAAAACTTTCTGAAAAGTTGGAGTGCAATTCTGGTTTTGGGGAACACTGAGATACCATTTTCCAAAATGCTTGCTTGTATAAATGCACCATCAATATTTTGTTGTCAAAATTCTTTTAAACACACTTATGATGTTAATTTAGTGATGAATGCAGGATGTGGTTGTTTTCCGTAGTGAGGATGAACCTACCATGCTGGAATAAAACGTAATTTAATCAGTGAAAATTAAGATATTGTTTGGAATAAAATAAGTCTGCCATTCAGTTAAGGAGCATGCAAACTAATTACATGCCGTGAATAAAATCTCAGACCAGCTGTATTTTTCGGTCTGAGTAACAATTTTGATAGGCTGCGTGCCACCAGTGTTAACATGCACAGATTTTCAAAAGCATGGCTTTGCTTATGGTGACACAGAAAATAAAATGATTTTCTACATGCAATATAAATACCTTATTGTTTATTATTTTGTTTCCTGATCTATGTTTTACAGAAATATAGAAATTATTTTCTATTAACTTCTAATGGCAGTTTTGTGAGAGGTTTGAAAGCCAGCATAACTTTCAGCAGCAGTTTCCTAGATCTTTGCAATCTGGTATCAATAAACTTTATTAAAATAAAGTATGTTAATTATGTAAGCAAAGATATACAAAAGATTTCAATTTCTACTTCAAGTAAGATTAATTTCCTCATTCTTTAGAGTATATAGCTCTTTTCTTTTTTGACATATCAAATGAGGATAGCAGACTTCTAAGTCATTCATAATCCAGATAACTGGAGAAAAGCTTAAAAAGCATTTAAAATAGATAAATAGGCACAAGGCTTGGTTTGCAGTGATCTTCTTCGCGTTGTCATCAAATCACCTGGGCTCTCTGTGCCACAGCTTCCCTCCCAGCCAGTCTTGAGCAGCTTCTACACAAGCATTTGCATGACTCCTGGGCACACCACGGCCCACGGGCCTCCTGGATCTCTAGGAGCAGCCGCCTCTCCCACACCTTGTACCATAAAAGCTACACTTTTGGAGGGTAAAATTTTATACTTTGCAAGCTGCTCTTACCACCCCGTCTCTCATTTTCAGATCCCGCTAGGGCCAGTGTTTTGGGCTAGATTGTGACATTTGGAATCAGACAAAGCTGGGGTTGAATTCCAGTTCAACCAATAAATTGTGGTAGATTTAATAACTCTGCTAATCACTTTGGTGTAATAACTTTTCTTCATCATTAAATCAGGGCAATAATTTCTTTTTCATTGAGTTGTTTCATGATTTAACAATATAATGCATAGATCACCTATTGTATACTACTACTCCTCCTGTCTTATTTCCACACACATCATTATTACTACGAAAAAGGATGGGGATGTGTTGCTTCCAAAATGTGAAAAGTCTTGCACTGTAGGAACACCACATATCTTCCTGGTAATTCTTCTATACGAAATCCAGATGCAGAATTAAACACATGCTTTGCCAAAATAAGGGTGTCTCTTTGTATTACCAGAGAAATTATGGTCCAAGACCTTTTTAAAATCAGGGGCTAACTCTAAAATACATTTAATAAATTTTCTTTCTTTTTCTCTCTAATTAATCTATGCGTGTCGTTGTTTTAAAAGGCACAGAACGGAGAATTCCACTGGCTATGGTATAGCTTCTTAGCCATTTTTTTTGTTGTTGTTGTTGTTGTTTTTTTTTTTTTAAGGCATAGCAGCAAATGAAATTGCTACGAGAGAGAAGACAGTACTTTTGGTATATTTAGTAAGAACCTGCTAAATCTAAAAGATAAATTGACTTATCTTAAAAAAAATTAATGTTCCTTTAAAGCAGACCTTTTTGTTCCAAAAATACTATGGATGACCATTCATATCTTGACATTTGAGATCCACTGCCAAGAAAACGTTCTGAGATTGAAACACTGAAATGAGAATTAGCAGTGGAATGGGGTGAGAATTCAGAGAGCAAAATAAAGCAGTCGATTATCTGCTGACACTAAAGGGAAGGAACAGGATGATGTGGTATAAGAAAAAAAGACAAGATTAAAAAGTGGTTGGTACTGACGATCTTCAGAGAATATCAGTAACTCTTATTTTAATAGACTTAGAACTCTAGAGAGAGAAAAGCTCCTTAGAGAAGTTGAGAAGTCAATTGCTGCCCCTCAGGGGCAAACTGGGCCTTAGTTAGTACTCAGAACATTGCAACTGTTATTT